TCCCTTGCTCCTGCTGAACCTATTCCCATTTCGTCAGAATTACTATCTTGACGAACCATAATTCATTGTGGGAGAGATCTGTTCCTACTTTTACTATTGTGTAAAAATCTGCACGCACAACTCTCAAAAGGGTCAGTGGGAATTGAAGAGTGTATGAGTGGTTTTTTTGGGTTTATGTTGTTCAACGTTCAATGTACAGTGCCACTTTGTTTACATGATTTGATGATTATTAACAAATAAAGAACTACACTTGAAATTGTATCTGTTACTCGATGCATTGATATATTTGTTAGGTTAACAATAGCGAGCAGTCACTTTGTGCAAATAATGCCAAAGGTTAAAGTCCACACCCAATCCATCCTTCCCAACACCTTCAACTAACAAGGCCAAATTGAGTAATGCCCCTAAACCGTGCAATCTCACAAATTTGGTATAGTTACAACATTTTGTCAGTCAAAAGAATCTAGTGTCATTAGTGATTATACTTGTTTGATTGGCTCTTCACCATTTGAAATTGGACAATTATTTTGAAAGAAAATCACATTTTCAATTATTCTCATTAATAGTGTTGGAATGTTGTTTTTGGGTTGACCTCTTGACTAGTTCATTTGGACTGCTTGAATTAGTCTCATTGACTGGTTTATCAGTTCTCCATTGATGATTTAGTGCATGGAAATCAGAATCTCTGATGCAGCTAATTTAGACAAGTAGCAACTCAACATTTTATTTCTTGAGAATGATGACTTGGTCTGTTGGGAATCTCTCTGATGCTTTGTTTGTTCAGGTTCCCAAATGCTCTTGTAGCATGATTTTTATTAGTTATTTTCTGCCCAATTTCAGCAGTGAACCTTTAAGCATCTTTCTTTTGAACTTTTTTCATCAACAATATAGGTTTTCTGATGGATGAACATGAATATTACTTTACCAATCTCTTGAACGATGGAATACACGTAGATGAGTTTAACACTCGATCAGAAGACCAAATAGAAAAAAGTGGTGCAACTCTTAGCAGCTCTAATCCTTCAATACTAGAATCGGTAAATATGGGAGACGACAGCGGGGGCTTGGAGAGATCAAGTGGAAGGAAGGCTGCGAAAGAGCGAGCAAGAAAGTTAAAGAGCAAACTCTCTAAAGGCGATAATTCAAGTTCAACCTTTTTCGTGAAAATGTTTGAAGAAATGAAGGAGGAGAAAAAGATGTTGGTGGAGAAGAAAGTCGAATTCATGGAAAAAATTTTGGCTATTGAACAAGAGAAGGTACAACTCGAGCAAATGAAGGAGGAACAGAAAATAATGTTGATGGATACGAGTGTTATGCCTTCGATTCAAGTTGAATATTTTAAGCGTCTCCAGATGGAAATCATGACAAAGAAAATGTAGTTCTTTCTTATTCATAGACTAACAACTTTTGATTAGTAGTACAACAAACAAGTATTGTAATATTATGCATGCTTAAAATATTCGTAAACAATGAATGTTTAAATATTCGTAGACATTCCATGCATATTCCACAGGTGCTCGACTAGATCAGTTTGGAGTCTTGAATAAGTGTCTCTGTCTCAAATGTGATGTTGACCATGGATAGAATACGAATGAAAAGAGATCGATTAATTCGAAACCTTCTTCGAAATAAATTTGGGGAATAGGTAAACGATTTTGCAAAATAATCGCGATAAAGTCTCTCATGCCCTTCAACTCGATTGCAAAAAATAACAGAATGACCTTAAATAGAACCACGACATATTGCGGAGTTGTTCTCAGTATTGAGTTTTTATATTGCCATAGCAGCAACCGCTAACATCTCCAAGTCATCATCGGAGTCAGAATCATTAAGGATCATCATCAATTTAGCATTATGAGCCATAACAAAGAAATATGATTTCAATACTAGTAAAACAAACTTGAGATGTATGACAATGAGAAGGGGGAGGTCTTATTTATACATTTTCAAAAATATGACCGTTGGAAATATGATCGTTGTAAATATGACCGTTGTAAATATGGCCGTTGTAAATATGACTGTTGTAAAATTTAAATTTAAATTTTAAAATTTGATGACGTGGCACGACACGACATCATTATGACACATACGTGTTATGCCACGTGGTATTTTTGAATGATATTATTGAAAGTTAGTTGAAATAGTTAGTTAAAATAGAGAGCGTGGTTGTAGTGAATTTTAAAAAGTGAATATAATATTTAAATATATTTTGGATAACTATTTTATTGAGCGTAATTGGAGATGCTTTTACTTCTGCCTCAAAAAGCTTCAAAACAAAGCCACTCTTCAAGTTGGGAACTTCACGTTTTGTAGTGAAGAATGCAGAGAACAAGCTAAGGTACATTGGGTTCTTGCGACGTATATTGCATTTGTCACCTCCTCCGAAGTTTCATTTGACTTTCATTCGGTGTTCCCATTTGGTATGCTCTTGGGATTTTGATTTGATAAGTGTTTGGTTGAGAATGTAGTAAATAATGTGATCTGGGGAGTTCTTCAAATGACATGACCACCATATGTTTGAAATTGGGCTTCTGAGACAAATAGTTAATTGGTTTGTGGTAATATTAGTGAATTGATTTAACAAGTAGTGTTTTCAATTAGAGGAGTTCATGTGACATTGGAGTTACATGTTGAGGAGTTAATGACAATGAATAGCAATTCTATGAGAATTGTACATTCTGTTGGAAACCACCTGTGAATAATGAAAAGCAATCCCACATAGGGAAAACAAAGGAAGAAAGATGGTTTTATATTCGAAGATGAGATCAAACCACCCAAGGCTTGAGCTTGAGCTTTGGGGCCAAGTTTGAGTCTAACACGAACCCCAATTCTCCATATATACCATAATCCTAAAAATACATGTAATCAATCAAGCTCAATTGTACCATAGCATTTCACTAGACTAACTTTTTGCCTTAATAATACAAAAAAATTCCAATCTAGTTTGATTTTCATGATATTTAAAATTGGCATAAGCATGTCTCAATTGCATACTTATCGTTTGTTATTTGTGACTCTTGAATAGATTAAATAAAATAGTCGTCGTAGTTCACTGTAAGCTTGTAGTTGTGGATTCAAAACTGAGAGCAATCACTTGGTGCAAATAATGCTAAAGGTTAAGTTAGTACCGAATGTACCCCTCTTAGACCCCATTAAAAGGAACAAAACTGGGTGCTATTTTTTCAGTTCACAAAGATAGAAGAATAGTTTGATTAAGGAAGCACGTGTGGGCATCCTATGGATAACTCCTGATTTTAGCTACATGGTGCAAACTGTATAATCTATATAATAAGATACCTAGGTTTTTGAACTTATGGGGTTATATTTTCCCCCCAAAATTTCACACACTTCCCCCCCCCATCACAAACCCAAAACAAACACTCCACAACACCCAACTACACACACTCATTATATATACACACTTCAGCTGTACACACACTTCAATACATGCATAGTATCATAGTTTAGTATACAGTTACTTCAGTCATGGGGTATCGTTAGTAGTATAATATTCCTTGCCAGTTTTCTCCATTCTGTTATGTTCATAGTGTGGTTTATTTCAAAATTTGGTATGCACATGAATCAGATTCATTTTTATAAGCTGAACTTTGAATTTTGCTTTGCTTCACCTGGTTTTAGGATTTCTGTGAAGTTGAGAACAAAGCAGATTGGTCAGCTTTTGATGATCACTGTCGGTATGGAGTTTTTCATATTGCATGTCATACTGGATCTCACCACCCCTTTTTTATTAGCATTTTCTTGTCAACTTCTATTTCCTTACTTTTTCATTTTTATAAAGTAATTCTCCTTCTAAATACATTACTGTGGTAGTGAACCTACATTCCATGGACAGATGATTTGCCACACGATACTTTCACAAGGTAGATGCAGAGTAAATATTAATTATGGAAAAGATTAATATTCCCTCTCTTCAGTGAGCCCTCCTGCTCCTCCGTGCTCAGGAAAAGAATCTTGGATATCCTCCAGTATACAATTTCTGGATTTTAATGATTTATTAGAGATTTTCAACTTCATTGTGATCGCACATACATTCGCTACGTACTAAATAATAGCCAGTTTTTTTGTTTGCTTTAGTTAATTTTTTTAATTATCCATGTATGTTAAAGGGTCTAATTAGTGTACATACTATCCCAAGAGTAAAAGAAAAATCCTCGTGGCATCGCATCATATGTGTGAGTGATGATGAACCTTTCGGCTTCCATCTTATTGTGTTCTCACTTCTTATTGTAATTTTGGGATATATGGCTCTGCAATGCGAAATTCCTAGTATGTGCTGGCTCCTACCCACAAAGAAACATCATTTATCAGGAATGTCAAAAATTAACTTTGGAAAAATAAGCAGGTCACAATTTAAAAGTTTGATCGATCCATTGTGACAATTTGAATCAGTTATGCATGATCATCCCTCAGTTGTCATAAAACCATGTCCCGAAACACCCTGGATGAAACTTTCCACCTTGAATAATTAACTGGTTGTTTTTCGAGTTGAGCCAGAAATCTAAGCAGTAGAATGGCTAGTGTTTTGAAAAACCATTTATTGAATCTAAGGTGTGAAGGAAATTCTACTTTAAGAACGAAACTAATTCCTTGAAATGCCATTCATAGGTAAGAATTAAAGGAATTTAGTTCAGGTGATACTCAAATGCCCATTGGATGTACATAATCACAGATATTTCTATCCATGATGCCTTGATTTACCAGCTAGTATGCATGTTGTATGGAGGCATTGTAGTTTTGCTTCATGAATACCATTACATGTTGACAGCTTTTAGAGTTAGATTTCGGTATTTATTTGCAATTTCCAGTTTATATTCAAATGAAACTTTCAGTAGTGCATCTCTTTAATTATCTGTTTTTGAAGAACTCGAGGTCTAAAATATTCACTTCTCCTCAAGCAATTGGCTTGCATAGTTATATCTGGAGAGGCATCTGCAGACTGTATTCGCATCCTTGATCCTGCCATTTCATATTCTGATGATATGATTAAACTGGTAAGAAGCCTTCATACCTTTTCAGATGGTTATATTAACATTATTTTAATAACAAGGAGTCATAATAGCTCATTTTAACTTTTGCATTGAAAGGGGTTGCATTTGCTGGAACTGACTGATTATTTTTTTCAAAGAAATCTTTGAAGTGCTTTTTTAAAATCATGCAAGTAGGTGGTAAGTATCTTCCATGAGACTTATTTACCGAATGGTGGAACCTTACTTAAGTGGATCATCATCTAGAAAACTTATATTAACCTGAAAGTTCATTTTAAAAACTCAGTAGAAACTATCATGTAAGAAGCTGTAGCCAAATTATTGTTTCTTTCGCAATTGAAAAGCCACCTTGATGAAATGTACAAATGGGAACAGAGAAATACTTCATGTATAGAAACACCTATTTGAACTTTATGGTGCATTGATTCATTTCTTGCATTTCTATATATTATCCTTGTCTCTCATGTATACTGTTACTTTTCAGATGGAAGAGGAGTATAGGTTGCTAGAAAGTGCCTTTGAGGCTGCAGATATCAGAGACGAGCAGATGTATCCACTCTATGACCAAAATTCATCCACATTTATTGCCAGAACTAGTTTTAATTTAACATGGTTTATGCTAACCAGTTTTAATTTAACGGGACTGAAGTCTTGCATCTGTGAGATTGAGAGATTTATCTTTGACTTTCTAGTTCTAACCAAGGGCTGGTACACTCACATACTGGACCGGATCCGTATCAATGCTTTCCGTAATGAATTGGCTGGTGGATTATATGAAGATCTTCTTTTGTCAGCGGCAGCATCAGCAGAAGCTGCTGTTGGAAATGCTGTCTATGTTGTTCCATCCTTCTACAATCATGATTGTGGTTAGATATCTCCTTCTTCTGCAAGTTCAATGCATTTTGCTCATAGTCATAAAAATATGCGCACCGGCTGAAGCCTCACACTGTCATGCACTAAGTTGCTATTTTTATTTATTTTTCCTTTGTTTAAGTATCAGCTTGTTGTAGACAAGGGCGGAGGCAGCCCTGTTCCAAGGTGGGCAAGTGCCCCCCCTCATTTTTTTTTATTTATTACTTAGGTATGTATATTGTATATTTGTATAATATATTATTTTTGCCCACCCAAAATCAAAGATAAAAATATTAGACCCACCGTTATAATATAGTGAATATGTATTTTAAGTATTTCTTTAATATTTTTAATTATGCCCCAACCTATTTTTTTAGCACATTAATTAATGTACACTTATATCAAATAAATAATTTTAATTATGTCCTCCCTTTTTTTTTTGGCACATCAATTAGTGTATATTTATATCAAATGAATATGAATTTTTTGACACATTTTGGATAGTTTATGTACTTATCTAGATAAATTTTGAATATACTAGAATTATTTTATATTTTCTAAGACTAAAAAAGACATGATATACATATTCGCTAGTTTATTTGTGATTTTGACATTCATTTTTGCTAATTATGGTAAAAATTATAGAGTGCACATTGAATTACATAATCAATCAAATGAGTTATAAATACCAAAGTGATAACATGATTATGTATCAAAAGAAGAATAAAGTAGTTATGCAATGTTTTCAAAGTACAAAAATTCACCGAAGTCAATTTTAAATTATTTTAATTAGTTAATATTTTGTAAAAAAAAAATGTCATCGTTTGTTATACTAGGCTTATCAAATTTCGGTATAGTGGGTTCAATAAACTTTTAAGTATTAAATAGGATGTAATTAAATAAATTATTGTCCTATTTCTATCAATTGTAAGAAAAAAATAATAATTTGTTGAAATATTTAAAGTAAATATCCTTTCGTCATTATGAAAGTCACGTGTATTTTTTGGACCAAAAAAAGAGGGGAAAATTAGATCGGTTATTGAAATACTGAACTGGCCGGGTCAGTGGCCCTCCTGTTGTCGTAGTGCTCTGGAACTAAGAACCGAATCCCAGCAACAGAGGTTCAAGGGAAGAGAATTAAGAGGCAGAGAGATTGTTCTAAACAGAATGGTTTCATTTTCTATTACATCCAGGTCTGATAGATTAGTTACTGATGGAGAATACTGTGATGGTCTGTACGCATGATTCTAGTGTCATTTAATCCAAAAATTATTGGGAAATAATAAATAGTCACCTACCTTGAACGTAGATTCTAACAATACTCAGCACGTAACTTGAGAACGTAGGTCACCGCTTTCCGAAGAACAAGGTATGATGGGGAATAGGCCTATGCAACTTGAATAGTTTTGCGGTCTATACTTCAGAATTTCATGACACAAATTGTATGCAAGTTTGGCTTTCTTTTGTTTCAATAGAGGATGATATTTGAAATACTGTATTTGAGTGCGGAAGGTTTTCCATTATATTTAGGAGCATTTTGTGTATGAACTTACTATCTAGGGGCAATTTATTTTGTTCTTGCACTGGCCTTATAATCTTCGATGGCTAATTTAATATCCTATTACCTTCTTTTCCGTGCTAAAGTTCCGGGTTGGACTAGATATTTGAAAACCTAGGCTTTGAACGGATATCTAGAAACCTTTTCTTCTAGTAAACCATGGAAGCCTTGAATCTAAAAACCTCAAAAACTACTTCTAGTGATGCTGCTTAAACTCGCTCTGTTCTACATAGAGAAGCAATTTTGGTGCAAAAATGTTAGTTTTCCAAGTGAAAGTTGTCCCTCTTTTGGCTGCACAATATGACTGGTAGTGTAGTGCTTGATCGTAAAACTGGAGTCCTGTTTATCTGACTTGAGGTTTTAATTTCAGATCCCAATGCACACATTTTATGGATAGAAAATGTGGACGCAAAAATGAAGGCTCTCCGTGACATTGAAGAAGGTTAACTACCTATTCCTTTCTTTGCTTCCATTTTTAAATGCCCTTTGTCTGTATGGGTAGGACTAGGAGGTAGGTCAAGTGCTTAATGAAACAATGGTGGCACATTACCCACTGTTAATGTAATTGCCATGTTTTGGTTTATAATCTGTCATTTCTGCTGGATGTCTTACTAGTAGTAACTATCCTTGCTTCCAACAAGCAAAATAGGGTGGGCTAGCATAGGCTATATGGACCCCTTCCTTGAGCGAAGGAAAATACCTTGCTTGTTTCTTTTCTATATTCCCAAACTCTTTCTGTCTGAGATAATCGTAGAGCCAAACAACCGATATTCTCTCTTCCCCTTTGCTTATGAGCCAAATACCTAACCTAAGAATTTGTCGACTCTTGAAATGGCTTCGACTTTCTTAGTATGGCTGGAGCTGCTGGTCCATCGACAAATCTAGTGTGATTGAGTAATGAAATTTCAAGTTAAAAGAGTTTTTTAGCAGCAATGTTTAGCTTCTTTGGTTGATATTGCAGGTGAAGAGTTGCGAATAAGCTATATTGATGCAAGTATGGACCGTGATGCTCGGCAAAAGATCCTGTTCGAACGGTTTGGTTTTCGTTGCCGATGTCTACGTTGTTCTTCAAATGATTAAAACTTTGAAAGCGTGTTTGGTTCAAGTTTTGAGACGGACATCAAATTGTGAAGGAAAAGTATTGTGAAAGGGAGAGAGGTTCCTTTGTGATGTTTTCTGTTGGGACTTATAGTCGAGGATTTTAAAATAATTTATGAAATAAACTTAGAAATGAAATAAAATATGTGCTATCGTTTTAATTTTTGGTAATAATAGGACAAAGTGTTGGGAATAGAATTAATAATTCATATGAATATTTAGAAAAAATCAACCTTTTTACAAGAAATGTATTAAATTTAATTGAAATACTCTAGATTATATTAAAATGGTGTGACTTTATTTAAAGCGTCTACCTATAAAGGCCTTGTATGTTCATCAGTCTATGTTATTTTGGGTTGATAGGTGCAAAAAATTAGGGGCTAATCTCATTTTGTACCTCGAAAGATCGTTAGAATCTTAATTTGTACCCCCAAAGATCAAAAATTTTAATTTGTACCTTCAAAGATAGAAATCTATATCAATGTGCACCTAAAATTAAATTGATAAATTATACCTAGATCCCCTCATGTTTGTCACTTAATCATTTGAACCCCTTCATATTTAAAATATTACCTCTACATCTCATGACGTTTGTACATGTGTAACATATAACCACTTTTCGTTGATATCTGTTAATATAATCGTTGAAAAATATGATTTTATCCTAATAAAAAATTATAATTTCATATTACCTTTTATTTTGTGGATTTGATATACTCTAAAGTTCAAAATTAAGCTTATCATTTGAATGTCTAATAGAACGTAGATATTTATATAAAGGAAAATATGAAAAATATTATATAAATATCTACATTTTATTAAACATTCAAATAATAAGCTTGATTTTAAACTTTAGAGTATATTGGACCCATAAAATAAGAGTAATATGAAATTATAATTTTTTATTAGGATAAAATTATATTTTTTAACGGTTATATTAACAGATATCAATGAAAATGGGTTACATATTGTACGTGCACAAATGTCATGAGATGTAGGAGTAATATTCTAAATGTAAAGAAGTCCAAATGATTAAGTGACAAGCATGAGGGGATCTAGGTATAATTTATCAATTTAGTTTTAGGTGCATAATAATACAAATTTCTATATTTGAGAGTGTAAATTGAGATTTTTTATTTTTGGGGTGCACATTGATATAAATTTCTATCTTTGAGGGTGTAAATTGAGATTTTTGATTTTTGAGGGTGCACATTGATACAAATTTCTATTTTTGAGGATGTAAATTGAAATTTTTGCTCTTTGAGGATGCAAATTGAGATTCGAACAATCTTTCGAAGTGTAAAATGAGATTAACGCAAAAATTAATGCTGTGGGAAGACAAGACTTTCCCAAAAGGGGAAGGTTAAAGATATTGCCAAAAATTATAATATTTTAATGTTAAATTATAATTTTTTTAAAGTGTAAATTGTAACTTTAAAGGGTATTATTGATTATGAACGGTTGTGATCGATACTAAGAGTTCATGATCGATCATGGGTGTCTGTGATCGATTATGGTCTTTCCTTGATTAATTATAATTTTTTTTTTATCAAAATTTAAATTTTACCATAAAAAATAGTAACAAAAAATACCAAAAAAAAAATAAATGAATTTCAATACGGTAGAGTTTTCATTCCCGAAAATGCAAAATGATGTGACTTTATAGACCTTAATGTCCATCAGTTCATGTTATTTTGGGTTGATTGGTTCAACAAATTAATGCAGTGGGAAGAAAAAAATGCGTTTGCCGGGAGTCGAACCCGGGTCTATTGCTTGGAAGGCAATTATCCTAACCGTTGGACTACAAACGCTTCACTGTTCCAGAATACTAAATTGTTTTATTTAACTACTAAATTAGGGCTGGTGTTCATCTAAAAATCTAATTTAATTTGTTGACATAATAATGTGACTTCAATAGAATCATTAAAATCAACACCAAATTTTAATATTTGATGAACTTTAAAGTCAATTCAAAAATTATAATGAATTATGTTAGTAAATTAAGTGCTAATAACATTGCTCAACGTTAATTGTACCTAATCAGTCATATTTATTGATTATATCAACGTTGTAATTACACTTGCAATGATAATTCCAATTTTAAGTAAGATATAACGTCTAGACAAGTAATTAATTTGGTTAAGAAATTTAGTTAGTAAATTTGGTCTAAATAATATTATTTAGTCCTTTGGTACAACTTTTTTTAGAAGAAAGAGCCACAACCCCAATAAAAAATCCTTAATCATGATCGATCAGGTGCAAGTAGTGTTGATAGTCGAGTGAGTTCTAACCGAGTCCAAAAAAATTATTTTTTAATTAAATTTAAAAAATTGTATAAATTCAATTTGTTTATAAAATGAGTTAAGCCTGAACGAGTCTAAAATAAGCAGAACTTAAGTTCAACTCAAATATTTGTATATAAATGAGTCTGAGTCTATCAAGTTTGAGCCGAACCTATTAAGTTTATGTTTTTAAACGAATTTAAAAAATTATTCAAGTATAAATCGTTTTCTAAATAAATCGTGTTTGAATGAGTCAAAATGATCCGAATTTGAGCTACGGTCGAGTAGCTCAGTTGGATGAGAGAGAACTTTAACACGCTAGTTCTAATCAAAGGCCTCTTTCACACTCTTTCTTCTCATATATATTTTCGCATTGTTTTCTAACTTAGTAAATAATCAAAGTAAGGGAGAAAATGGCAGTTCCCGCCGACTTAGTCGTTTGGTGAGAAAGTGTAAAGGGGTGGCAAAAAGAGAGCCTTTTTGTTACCCTCCTAACTCACATCTCCTCTTCCCTTAAAAACCAACACCCACCCATCTTTATATTCTCACTCCTCTCTCTCTATCTCTTTCTCTTCCTCTAAAACTAAACTAAACCCATAAAACTTATATATAGAGCCTTGTTTGTTAACTTGCCTTTCTTACTTTTGTTTTGGTTTGTTTAGGAAGTGAGTAGTTGAGGCTTGAGGTTTTCCATCTTTCAACTAAAACCATTTTCACCTGTAAAGCTTTATACTCTCTCCCATTTTTTTCTTCTAATCTTTTCAGTGCTTTTCTTGGCAATTATGGGGGCTTTGTCAGTACCCTCAATCCCAATGACACCAAGATTGTTTGATAAGCATGATGGGTGCTTGTTGAAGAAGAACAATTGCTTGGTGTATTGCCAAAGTGGTGGGAATGTGATGAAGACTAGTGGATTGTCTTCTGTTTTGACAGAAAGATCAATGCTAATAAACGCCAGCACCGATCAAGGTCTGGCTTTAATGGAGGCAGGAAGTTTGGTTTTGAATCCAAATGGAAATTCTCAGGCTGAGATGAAGGAGCTGTTGCCTTATGGTGGACCACCTCCTTCCCGAATCGATATGCATGATGATGGTATTGGCATTGTTAAATTTCTTAGAGGAAAGGGGTTTCTCATTACTGGTGCAACAGGGTTCTTGGCAAAAGGTAGATTTTCCAATGCTAAGGCTTTCCAATGAGTCTTTTGAGTGCTTATTGAGGTTTCTTATTTCTAACTTTTCTTGCTTTATTTTTGTGGTGTAATAAATCCCAGTTCTTATAGAAAAGATAATAAGGACAGTGCCTGATGTGGGTAAGATATTTCTATTGATCAAGGCAAAGAACAAGGAAGCTGCAATGGGGAGATTGAAAAATGAAGTATGTGTTTTTCCTAGGAAGTTATTAGTCATTTGTTTATCAACTTTTTGGGCATAATTTTTTCATTCTGTAGTGACAATTAATCTACCTTGGGTTGTATACAGATCATTAATGCTGAACTTTTCAAGGGTCTTCAACAAACTTATGGAAAATCGTATCAGGCTTTCATGTTGAGCAAATTGGTTCCAGTGATCGGTAATGTTTGTGAATCTAATCTTGGGTTAGAGGAAGATTTAGCTGATGTGATTGCCAAAGAAATCGACGTAATTGTGAACTCTGCAGCTAATACAACTTTCGATGAAAGGTTACAAGGAATTATAATACATTTTGAATTTTCTTTATGTCTATTATGAAGTTCTTTAGTTTTCTGTGGCTTGTGAAAATTTAAGAAGTTTTGGAAGAATCTTCAAATTAAGTGTTCGACGAAATTTCAGATATGATGTTTCTCTGGACATAAACACTGGTGGACCTAGTCGTGCTATGAGCTTTGCAAAGAAATGCAAGAAACTTAAACTCTTCCTGCAAGTATCTACTGGTAAGAAAAAGAAACACAATTGTCCTCTGATCTTTGTAATTACTGGGATCATCAACAGGAATGAAACATCATGTTCTTTACAAAATTCTTCCATGAAACTTTGTGTTTGATTATATTCCTCATCAGAATCCTCCCCAATTCAAGAACTACCATAAATTCCTCCTGAAAAATATAAGCATTAATTCCTATCACAGTACAAACAGTTTTTGCTCTCCAAATTCAAGAACAATAAGATAAATGGTCCACTCATCTTTTATATACAGCTTATGTTAATGGACAAAGACAAGGAAGAATCATGGAAAAGGCATTCTGCTTAGGCGATAGCATCGCAAGGGAGAATCTTAAATTTGCAAAGCCACAAATATCCCTCCCTACATTGAATGTTGAAGATGAAATAAAGATGGTTTTGGAATTGAAGGCAGGTTTTGAAGACATTGTAGTTGCTCAGAAAATGAAAGAACTTGGTCTAAAAAGGTAATGAGTCTCGCGTTTTCTTCTTTCTTCTTTCCTCCAATGTCCTACAAAGTTACCCGGGGCCAAGGTGGAGAGAAATATATGAAATTGAAATCTTGGAACATATACTATGTGGCATGGCATGGTTGATTTTGGTGATTAAATTGAACCAGGGCAAACAAATATGGATGGCAAGATACTTATGTATTCACAAAGGCAATGGGAGAAATGCTGATTGATAGCCTGAGAGGAGAAGTACCAGTAGTCATAATTCGACCAAGTGTCATCGAGAGTACATACAAAGAACCATTCCCCGGATGGATGGAAGGAAATAGGTATGTCATATTGATCTTATCATGTACAAAATGCGATTGATTTCTACTTGACCTTTGGGCTAACCATCCTTGTTAATGTCCAGGATGATGGATCCAATTGTTCTGTACTATGGAAAAGGGCAGCTCACTGGATTTTTGGTAGACCCCAAAGGAGTCCTTGATGTAGTAAGTATTCCTCTGCTTCATACTCATTGAAACAGAAACTACAATTACCAACAAGGAATGGAATTTAAATACTAACAACGAAACCACACTTTCAGCTTATAAATTGTTATGCTTCAAATACTGCAGCTCTTCCAATTACATTGACAATTTACTTCGAGGTATGGAAAGAACACCTAGAATGCAGTCGGTTTCCTTTCCTTATTAACAGTACCATAGGACACGACAATTGGGGCACGCTCATATTCAATGTCTTGAGGACCCTGTAGAGGCCTAAAAATATAGTTCATCTACAAGTAGGATATGGTTTTAGGATGAAGCACAGCATAACTACCACTTCATATTGAGACTAATGCCAAATGTTCTTTGTCCTAAGAATCGGATAAAACATTATACTCACTATTTGTTAGCCCATAACTTCAACTTGTTACAAGCTGCTATGAGCATACTCAAGATTACTATATTCTACAACAGAAACCGCATTGCATTTATGCAATTCCTTCTCTGGCTATGGAGTTTAATCCACTCTTAAGATGACTTATTGCAGGTCCCCGCAGACATGGTTGTCAATGCAACCTTGGCTGCCATAGCGAAGCATGGAGCAGCTGGTAAATCAGAAACTAACATCTACCAGATCACTTCATCGGTCACAAACCCCTTGGTCTTCGAAGACCTGGCCAGAATGCTCCACGAACACTTCAAATCCTTCCCATGCATGGACTCAAAAGGGAGCCCAATCCATGTTCCCACAATGAAGCTTTTCAGCTCTATGGAAGATTTTTCCTCTAACCTTTGGAGAGATGCAATTCATCGAAGTGGGTTGACAGCTATGGCCACTCCTAATGGAAAGTTGTCCCAAAAACTTGAAAACATCTGCAGAAAATCAGTGGAGCAAGCAAAGTACTTGGCTAATATTTATGAACCATACACCTTTTATGGTGGAAGGTAGGATAATAATTTTTCATCTCCTTTTACCCTTCTTGTGTGACACATTGTACTGAGCTGGCTATATATATGATAATCAAAAAATTGTCAGGTTCGATAACAGCAACACTCGGAGATTGATGGAATACATGTCGGATGAAGAAAGGAGAATGTTTGGATTTGATGTGGGAAATATAGATTGGAAAGATTATATCTCCAATATTCACGTCCCCGGGCTAAGGAGGCATGTGATGAAGGGAAGAGGGATGTGCAGCTAAATTGTCAGCATCTTTTGCACATGGAATTACTTACTGATTTCTGCAGCTAATTGTAAGAAAACTGTGTTGTTTGTTTTTTCTCTTTCTGCTAAATTTCATATAAAAAGGGGCAAGATGTGGTGGTGTATGTACTCAAATTCATAGTAAGCTCGATGATAAATGTTGGTGATTTCTTTTGGTTCTGTAATTCTCATAGGCTACGGCTATGTCTGAGCTTATTCTTGACAGTGTCTGCAAGAAGTTTAAAAAACTTCAACTCAATGTTAAGCTATGTACTACTTCCAAAGTTCCAAGGATATGTTTCGAAAATATAAATATACTGAAATCTGTGATGAACAGTATGTCAAACTTGAATAAAATTAATCAGCAGCTGTATGTGGTTAACTTTAATCCAGTAGCTGTTGTAACATTTTACATAGGTACGATATAGACGAGTCATCTAGTGCTCCCCTCTCTAAAGGGGGCGTACCCATTCCAATTTCAGATGCTAGCAGTCAAGCAATCATAGAAAAAATTATCAGCCAAGATACATGGTAAATCAAAAAATGCCAGTTTTGATAACAACAATAGTAGTATTGAAATGCCTTTCTAAAGAACAAAGAAAGACACTTTTTTTTAGTTTTTTCAATTAAAAAAAGGCGGAATAATCTTTATTGATCAGGAATATGAAAGGATGAGAGGCATTATAAACACAGTTGAGTCGCCTTCAAAACCAAAAACAACAGATTGGAAAAAGAAAGGAAGGCTTTTGGATTGGAAAGGGAAGGACAATCAGGGATATATCACCATGCATCTACTGATGGTTTTTTTTTTTTTGAGAAAATTACAGATTGTCTCACTGTGGTTTGATCAGTAACATTTTATCTCCTTCAACTTTAAAAACTTATGCATCACTCCATGTGGTTTGGGCCTCAAGTGCAACACTTAATGAAGTTAATAATAGTGTGTGTGTGTATATATATATATATATATATATATATATATATAGTGGTTTACCTTTCTACTATAATATAAGAAAATGCAAGAAAGAGAATAGCTCCATAATATAATAAAAAACTACCATAAATTACATGCACTCAAGTAGTGTCTCTACAAGAGGAAGAAGCTGGAACCTATGCAATACCAAAGAATAGACCTGATAGAATTCAATGGATTGCATAAGATATGCCAGCCTTATTTTTTGTTTTGGGTTAAATCATGGTATCATGAAACCAACTCATAGGTAAAAATGCAGCCAGAGAGACCATTCCACCACCAACACCCATAGTAACTATCGACCAAGACTTTGTGGACAGTGTTGGCCAGTCACCATTCACCAAGACTTTCCAACACAATGAGCAAGCCGCCAGGTTTGCCCATAACCAGCATTGACTCCTTTGGAACCACATAAGTTTTTCAGTTGATATGACAAAATTGATACTTGTTTCTGACAACACCTCTCCTTTGTCGTTGGTCTCCTAAACAAGTGAAAAATATCTTGCATAATTTCTCTTTTCTCTTTCGATTTTAGAAAACGAGAATATATTTATAAGAAAGAAGACAAAGAACAAGGATTTAAAGTTATTCGCTGATATAAAATATCAAAAATAAGATTTTATTGATATAAAATGAAAATGATAGGGTTTAATGGATTTTTGTGGGGAAAAATAATATTTTTTGATAATTTTTCTTTTTTTATAAGGGTTAATTATAATTTACCCCTCCATCTATGCTCTTTGTTGCAATTAGTTTCTTGTGGTTTTAAATGCTGCAATATGCTCTCTCAAGTTTTAAGTTGACTAAATTGATTGACATCAGTAATTGAAATATAAAATTACCATTACACCATTTTTCTTGTACATTATTTATCATATTTTTTTTTCTTGAAATATCAATTTTGTCCACAAAAAAAATAAGAAAATAGAAAATCCAAGACAATAATGCATTCATTCAACCCAACATCAATACCCTACACAATACCAACACGCATGTGTGCACGCGCACACACACAGTCTTTCAGGAGTAGTTATAACTTTTCAACAAAATAAAGATTACGTGAATTTTTTATGTCTAACTTTTATTACTTTTTATGATCTAAAAATAAATATTAGAGTTAATTATAAAATATTCAAATTTAAAAGGACTATTTATTGAAATTGAAATTTGAAGGAGTGAATAATAACCGGTCCAAAATCAAAAGGGGACATTTTATAATTAACCCTTTTTATAATTCAAAAAGAGAGAAAATTAAAGATGAAAGGAAAGTTAGAGAGAGAATGGCAATGTTTTCACAAAACGTGGGACTGGATTTAGAATTTGGAGATGTTTGAAGGCTTAGATTTGGAAATTTGGAGATTTTAGATCCTAATTAAAAACTACATATGAATAGGGAAAATGCTAAATAGATATACAATTAAAGTTTGACCAACCTTTCTAGTCTATTATGTATTGGGATAATGGGTCAACTTTGCACTACTCTCTATCGGACAATGACTAGATATGATTTTGAACGGCAAAGTCCACCCAAATCCATATTCCTCTCAAGTTTAATATGACTCTAAGAGGCTATAAATTGAATTGTTCCAAAGTCTATTGTTTAAGAAAAAAAAACCATTTTAAAATTGTATTAAACCATATGATAAACTCTTAAGGTGGTTTAGTGGTCAAGTTTACTGGCTTATAAGTAAGAGATTTAAGATTCGATACTTCTCATAAACCCTAAAGACCAGTCATTATTTTTCATAAGACGTATCATTAAACTAACTCGAGTTACGGTGATCAACTCAAAATTCGAGATAAAGATTAGCGTAAGTCTAAACACCTTGTAACCAGAAAAAAAAAAAAAAGAACAAAAACCAAATGAAATGTTCGAAATGGGAGAAAATATTGGGTGACATCACAAGTAGTGTCATGCGGTGGACATCACATATAAAAAATTATATATGTCAAAATAATTCTTGTCATTGTAAATATGTCAATTTTTTTGTCAAAAAAAATAACTTATTAATCCAACAAATAAGCGTTGTGACAAATTTTTATTGCAATGCTACCTTGGTGCCTTAAAAACACTCAATATTTTCTCCCAAGATAGGGAATGGAGACTTCTTCCCAATTCAACCTTCTCCAATATCTTTTTCCATTAGATCTTTTATTAATAGATTATTCATCATAAAATAGATCCCCACTTCAATATGCAATAGATGATTTGTCAAAAAAAATTAAAAAAAATATATATTAAAAAGAATTTTGCTTCACTTCCTTCAATAAAAATAATTATTTAATGTAACGGTAATACTAAGTTACTATTGACATCACGAATAAATGCATTCAAATCCTAATATGTGGGAGTTTAAATTTTCTTTTCTTTTCTGGAAGGTAGTATGAGTTTAAAAGCATCCAGAGACCGGCCCTAACTAGCCGATAGATTCACATTATGATTCAAAGCACACAAAAAATCTATAATTAAGCCTAATCAACCTCAACTATCATTGACCCAACCGAGAGTAATAAGGAGTCAGATCCTTTCTAATATAACTTCTTTTTTATTCTATTCTTAGTGAATTATCTATCATTACATTCAAATAAGACTTTGTAGACGTTAAAAATTTAATTAACAAATTAATGTTTATAATTTGGCTCAAATCAATTAGATAAATAAAATTAGGTTGAAACTAAATTTCATAAGCCCAAATGATGTAAGTCTAAATGTAATTAAATAAGTTTGAGTTGGACCCAAATTCCACAGCCCAAATAATAGAAGCCAAAATATAATTAACAAGCCTTATTAAATTCAATAGACTTAAATTTCATAAGCCCAAATTAAACAAACATTTAAAAAAATTTGACTTAAATTCCATAAATTAACTGAAGCCCATTAATTTATGGGTAGCCCATTATCTAAAGTCCATATAAGGGTATTTAGGTAAAATACCTTTATATGGATAATTACTCTCCACCACTATAAATAAAAGTCTTGGGATAGGCCAAAAAAAGAGAGAAATGGGAGAAGAAGCCAAGGAGAAATACCTTCACTAAAGTCTTGCAAGTTCATCTCCAAGAAGAAGAACACGCCGACAAGGTCTTCTTCAAGAAAATCAAATCATCTTCAAGCCTTTCCAAACGAAGAACGGTGAGAAGATTCATCAAAAACATCATCAAATTGAAGACTATGAGATACATTGATCCAGCTCTCGTTTTCATCAAAACCATCAATTGAAGAGTGAGAAATACGCCAATGTGGCCCTCATCTTCACCAAATTCATCAAATTCATCGAGAATCAGAGGACAGTACACGTGCGAAACACGCCAAAGAGAGTCAACACTAAATTTTTTTACTTAAAGTCAATCAAATTGACTATTGTAATTTGACCTTATTTTGTGTTAATTCATTTCACGAAATTTGTCGTTACAAATTTTGGCACGCCCAGTGGGACTCTCTCTTCCTCTCATCTCTTAAGTCAACAAACCTGACAACAATGACAACTAAAGACATCATGATTCCTCCCACCGACAAGTCAGCGGACTTGGTCGAGGAGTCAATTCCAATAACCCGTGCCAGAACAAAGGCGGGTAAATCTCAACTTTTGCCACCAATGGAGCATTGATCTAGGCAAAGCAAAAGGAACGCTCTTCCAAGTAGAAATAAACAACCTGCCCATTCTTCTATCGATTTGGAGGAAGAGATGGACAATTCTTTGCCTAACACACAATCCAACACAGGCTCGAAGACTGAATCTTACTCCGAGATTTCTCCTAAACAGAAGTGGGATGATTATTCCTCAGCCTCTGATATGCCTATGTCTGTGATGGTGACGAAAGTCATTTCATCTGAAGAACATCTTCAACAACTTACTGCTACGGTCGAGAAGTTGAACAAGGCCCTTGAAGGTAAAGAAATGCAAATCGCTGCACTCATGAACCGGCTTGAATTGCAAGAATATTCAAAAGGAAGCAGTCAAGAAACTTCAAGTCCGTCTGGTACTAAAATGCCAAAAAATTCAAAGTTTTTAGAACAACAACAAAAACAAGAGCAATATGATCGAGCCATGGCACAAAATGCCATGCAAGATTCTTCTCAAATATCTGTTGCCGCACTCTCTGTCCAACAACTTCAACATATGATTGCTGATATCATTCGACCCTAGTATGGAGGAGCTCCCCAGTCTTCATTAGTATATGCAAAGCCAT